ACCACCCACCCACATACACACACACACACACACACACACACACACACACACACACACACACACACACACACACACACACATATACCGTGAGTCCAACCAGCCTCCACCCCCCCATCCTCCTCCTCCCCGTCCCCCCCTCCCCCGCCCACTTTACACATTCCCTCTCACCTCACCCCCACCCCGCCACCCCCAGCTCAACCAAACCCCCCACCCACCACTTACAATAGGTTGTGTCATCGCCTCTCCAGTCTCCGACATGGCTGCCCTCTGGAGAATACAACAAGACAGATGCCACAGGCCTGGCCCCTCTGGCCTGCGAGACCGACCGTCGCTCGAACCGACCGACCGACCGACCGAACCAACCGAACCGACCATTAGCCGAGTCGCCGAGTCGTCGTCGGCGAGCGGAAAAAGGTCGTGCGCCGCAAGCATGGCCGCCACCGACTGACCTCTGCCTGCCACCAACGGCCACAGCCAAGGAGGTCATGGTCGTAGGTGTATTCCCTCGTCTCACACACGAGAAAGTACGTACCAGACACAGCACGCTCTACCCAGTTAGTCTTGAAGTTGGCGCCACTGCCCATGGCGGTGGTTGTTGGCTGACGCTTGGTGTGTTCTTCTGACAATACCCTTTTTTTGGCCCTTCTTCGCTCTGGTTGAACACAGGCCATGATCACAATCGTGTCACTCCCCCTCCCCTCCGCCCTCCTCCCCGCCCTCCGCTCACCCCCCCCCCCCCAACCCCCAACCCTTCGGTCCGCCCACAGCCATGTACCGTATGCGTATGCTACTCTTGGTGGCTGTGTGTATGGTGGCTGTTGCCACTGCTGACGTTCTGCCGCTCTTCCCTGCAGCGACAAAGGTGGCTGACCACGACACGTCGTCGCCGCACCACGATGCGCATCCTGTGGCTGCACGGTTTGCTGACCCGAGCCAGCTGCCGCGGACGGTGCACAAGGTGCACGTTCATCCGGATATGCGGAACACCAACCTGCTCCTCCACGAGATCCCTGTACTCGAGGTGCTCTCGGCCGAAGTGGCGCCCGAGCTCGGCCCGGTCTACGGCCGTGCAGTCTCGGTGAGCCACTCGGACGACGGCTCTGAGCTGATGATTATCGGGCGGGTTGTCGACTCGCCGGACGCACCGCTGACTGCTGAGGACCGTCTCGCCGGCTCGCCGTCGCATTTTGCTTCTGGCGGGCGGTTCTCCCTCCACATCACCAACTCGGGCGAGCACGTCTTTGGCGAGCTCTCGCTCTTTGACCACGACACTGCGTTCCGGTGGGAGACCCAGGCTGATGGCGTCGACGGCCATGTTCTTCTCCGGCGCATCCACATTGATGAGCACATCTGCCGCGAGACGGCACTGGCGGCGGAGGACCCGAACGACGACTACGACCCGGCACGCGACACCATCGCCACCCGCGTCCTCAACCCGCCGCTCCACAACTCCAAGCCCGGCTCGCCGTACGTCATCTTTCTCGACTTTGACGGACACGACGCGTCCGGCTCGGCGTGGGGAAGCATTGTTGCCGGTCCGTACGACATCGACTCCAACACAAACTCGTTCTCGTCGACCGAGCTCGCCCGCATCTCGCAGATCTGGGAGCTTATGGCCGAAGACTACGCGCCATTCGAGATCACCGTCACCACCAACGTTGCCGTCTACAACGCCGTCTCCGAGTCCCGCCGTGTCCGCTGCGTCTTTACCATCACCGACGCGTGGTACCGAACGCCGGCGGCGTCGCCTACGTCGGCGTCTTCTCGCGGTCCAACCAGAACTACCAGCCGTCGTGGGTCTTCACCAGGCGCCTCGGATCAGGCAACGCCATGTTCTGTGGCGAGGCTGGCTCGCACGAGGTCGGCCATAACATGGGTCTCTCCCACGATGGCACCTCGTCGGCCGGCTACTACACCGGCCATGGCTCGGGCATCACCGGCTGGGCCCCCATCATGGGCGTCGGCTACTACCAGGACCTTGTGCAGTGGTCACGCGGTGAGTATGCTGACGCCAGTCAGCAGCAGGATGACCTCGCCATCGTGGGTGGCTCTTCGAACGGCTTTGGCTTCCGCGCCGATGACCACTCCAACTCGCGGACTTCGGGCACAACCCTCAACGACGGCTCAACCCCGGCCGGATCTGGTTTCATCTCGACCCGCACCGACGTCGACTACTTCAAGATCACCATTGGCTCGTCGGGCTCGATGACCTTTACCGTCGAGCCGGCGTCGGCCAACTACTACAACCTCGACATCGAGGCCCGGCTGTACGCCGGCTCTTCACTCGTTTCTACCGTCAACCCTGCATCCGATGTCAAGGCCGTCGTCACATACTCGGGCGTTGCCGGCACTACTTACTACCTCCGTGTCGACGGCGTCGGCAAGGGCTCCCCCACCGGAACCGGATACACCGACTACGGCTCGCTCGGCGAGTACCGCATCCTTTACTCTGGCCCGCCGTCGGGCTCGGGTGCCTCGTGCGGCAACTCGATTGTTGAGGCCGGCGAGCAGTGCGACCCGCCGTCGCAGGCCTGCTGCACCTCGGCGTGCCAGTTCCGTCCGTCGTCGTACACCTGTCGGTCGGCGGTCGGTGTTTGCGATGTGGCTGAGACCTGCACTGGCTCGTCAGCCGGCTGCCCGGCCAATGCTGTGGCGACGGCGGGCACAACTTGCCGCGCATCGACCGGTCCGTGCGACGTGGCCGAGACCTGCAACGGCGTTTCCACGAGCTGCCCTGCGAATGGCTTCCGGCCGTCGTCGTACACCTGCCGCGCGTCGGCGGGCGTGTGCGATGTGGCCGAGACCTGCACTGGCTCGTCAGCAAGCTGCCCGGCCAATGGCTTCCGGTCGAACTCGGTTGTCTGCCGCGCGTCAACAGGCGTGTGTGATGTGGCTGAGACCTGCACTGGCTCATCGGCTTCCTGCCCGGCCAACAGCTTCCGCTCGTCCTCGTACGTCTGCCGCGCCTCAACAGGCGTGTGTGATGTGGCTGAGACCTGCACTGGCTCGTCGGCTTCCTGCCCGGCCAACAGCTTCCGCTCGTCCTCGTACGTCTGCCGCGCCTCAACAGGCGTGTGTGATGTGGCTGAGACTTGCACTGGCTCGTCGGCTTCCTGCCCGGCCAACAGCTTCCGCTCGTCCTCGTACGTCTGCCGCGCCTCAACAGGCGTGTGTGATGTGGCTGAGACTTGCACTGGCTCGTCGGCTTCCTGCCCGGCCAACAGCTTCCGCTCGTCCTCGTACGTCTGCCGCGCCTCAACAGGCGTGTGTGATGTGGCTGAGACCTGCACTGGCTCATCGGCTTCCTGCCCGGCCAACAGCTTCCGGCCGTCCTCGCAAGTCTGCCGCGCATCAGCGGGCACATGCGACGTGGCCGAGACTTGCTCCGGCTCGTCAGCGTCCTGCCCGGCCGACGGCTTTGCGCCAGCCGGCACCTCGTGTAACGACGGTGACGTGTGCTCGTCGCCAGACACATGCGACGGGCCGGAACATGCTCTGGTCCGACGACGTGTGCGTGTGGCAACGGTGTGGTCGAGGCCGGCGAACAGTGCGACGACGGCAACCTGGTCAACGGCGACTGCTGCTCGTCGACTTGCGAGCTCGAGAGCTCGTCAACGGTCTGCCGCCCGGCGGCTGGGCCGTGCGACGTGGCCGAGACCTGCACCGGCTCGTCGCCGACTTGCCCAACAGACAGCCTCGCGTTGTCGGCGACTGTCTGTCGCCCGTCGGTGGGCGCTTGCGACCTAGCCGAGACTTGCACCGGCTCGTCGGCGGCGTGCCCGGTAGATAGCTTCCGTCCGTCGTCGTTCACCTGCCGCGCGTCGGCAGGCGTGTGCGACGTGGCCGAGACTTGCACCGGCTCGTCGGCGGCGTGCCCGGCAGACAGCTTCCAGCCAAACTCGGTTGTCTGCCGCGCGTCGGCCGGGCTTTGCGATGTCGCGGAGACCTGTACCGGTGGCTCGGCGAGCTGCCCGGTCGACAGCTTCCGCAGTTCGGCAACAGTGTGCCGGGCGTCGGGCGGTCCGTGCGATGTGGTCGAGACGTGCCCTGGCAACTCGGCGAGCTGCCCGGCCGATGGATTCCGGCCGTCGTCGCATGTGTGCCGGCCTACTGCCGGTGGATGCGACGTGGCTGAAACCTGCCCTGGCAACGCGGCGGCGTGTCCTGCCGACGGCTTCCGGCCGTCGTCGTATGTCTGCCGGGCTGCAGCCGGGCCGTGCGACAACGCCGAGACTTGCCCGGGCAACTCGGCGGCGTGCCCTGCCGACGGATTCAAGTCGTCGGCTACAGTGTGCCGCCCGGTCGCCGGCGTGTGCGACGTCGAGGAGCGGTGCACTGGCAGCTCGGGCGCGTGTCCGGCCAACGCGAGGCGGGCCGGCGAGGTCTGCCGCTCAGCAGCTGGCAATCTGTGCGACCAGCCCGAGGTGTGCAGTGCGAGCTCGGACGATTGTCCGGCTGACACCTTCCTCCCGCCAGGCACCTCGTGTGACAACGGTTTTGCATGTGACGGCACCAGCGATACCTGTGACGGAAGCGGGCCGAACGCATGCGTCGGGTCGAACCCGGCCGGGTGCCTCTTCACCTGCGGCGACGGCATCCTGGAGGCTGGCGAGCAGTGTGACGACGGGAACACGGACAACGGCGACTGCTGCTCATCCGGATGCCAGTTTGAGCCGACGACCCAGGTGTGCTCGACGCCGACGTGCAACGGGCTGTGCGACGGTGGCGGAACGTGCACTACGCAGCCGTTCTGCTGCCTCACCGACGCACAGTGCGACGATGGGCTCGACTGCACCATCGACACGTGCGGCGGCGACGAGGTGTGCCACAACGACCCAGCGCCTGCAGGCACGAGCTGCGACGACCAGCAGGACTGCACCATCAACGATGCATGCAACGGGATCGACGCGGTGTGCGAGGGCGAGAACAGCTGTCCAGGTGGGTGCGGGCTCAACGGGCTCTGCTGCCACTCGGTCTGCGAGTGCACCTTTGGCTGGGATTCGGACCCGTCGTGCTCGATCGGGCCGGACCCTCTCAACCTCGGCTTTGCCCTCTCGCACGCGCTTGAAAGCACGCGCGAGGGTCGGGCGTACTCGCTGGTGGTCCAGGGCGGCGTCGACATTGTCGTTTCGGTCCGACCGACCCGCGGAGCAAACGGGGCGAGCACCCGGGCCACGTCGGACGTCTTCCTCTACGGCTCGTTCTCGGAAATTCCTGCCAAGGCCGAGGGTCTCGTCATCCACGAGTACCGGTCGGAAGCGCCCGAGCTCGAGGAGCAGTCGTTTGTCATCAACTCGACCCGTTCTGGCCTGCTCTTCATCTCGGTCTTCCGGGCGCCGGGCGTGGCAAGCGTCGACTTTGAAGTCGTGGCCCGTGACATCAACACCGGGCGGGCGGCGCCGTCGTCGCCGATCTCGATCGCCAACGCCAAGGACAAGCCGTGGCTCCTGATTGCAGTCGGCACCGGCCTCGCTGCGTGCTGCCTCCTCACCGTCGCCATCGCCACCGTGTGGAGGCGGCGGTCCAACAAGAGGGCTGCTATGAACTTTGGCACCTACGACGACACCAGCACCATTGCTGGCAACGACATGGAGTTTGAGCTCGCCACACCAGGCCCGGTCGGCTTTGCTGCGATCACGGCTGATTCGCCGCCAGCGCCGGTCAGGCCCGCGGAGGGCGAGACCTGGGAGGCCATCTACGCATTTGCGGGCCGCGAGTCGGACGAGCTCTCATTCACCGTCGGCGACCGGCTCCTAGTCAAAGAGCAGTACGATGACGGATGGGGCTCGGGCAATATGATTGCCACTGGCGCCACTGGCATCTTCCCCATGTCCTATCTCAAGAAGATCGCCAACGAAACCACCACCGCCCGCCCTGCCCCTGTTCCGCGGCGGTAACTGTTTCTCGTTTTGTGGGAAGTAAATAGTATTCTCAAACGAACAACGCGAACCCACGCTGGCGACGAATCAACCACCAACGAACAATCGCCCGACTTTGGTTGGTGGCACTGTGCTCGTTTCCCGCCACACCCACCCACCTACCACACCCACACACCCACACACGCACACGCACACCTCCCCCGCCCCCACTCTTGGTGTTGCACCTCTTTGCCTATCAGCCGTACCTTGCTTGTTCAAGCAAGTAGCTTGTGGTTGTGGTTGCAAGCATGTCGTCTGGTGACTACAAGTACGAGTACGAGTACGAGAGCATGTCCGAGTCGGAGACGGAGACCGAGACGGGGACTGATGAGACTGAGACTGGGAATGATGATACCGATGCTGATTCCGAGGAGAGTGGCGATTACGAGTACGAGTACGAGTACAAGAGCAACGACGATAGCAGTGATGACGATGGTGATAGTGACGAAGAGTCCGGCTACGAGTACGCGTACTATGACGATGATGCTGGCGGTGTGATGATGGCCGGGATCAAGGCTGGCTCGGGCAAGAACGGCGCGGAGAGAGTTCCAGTGCTGGGAAAGAGTCCTTCCGGACTAGAGTTGGATGCACTCAATCGAACTGTCGACGAGATCTGCGAGGTGGCGACGCATGACAAGGAAGAAAAGGTGGCCCTTATCATCCATGCTGATGATGAGAGCGACGGCGCGGTGCCGTTGCTGGAGAGCAGCCGGTCGCGGAGGAAGAAGGCCAAGGCCAAGGCCAAGGCCCGGGCTAAGAAGAAAGCCAAGGCGAGGCAGACAGGCGAGTCAGAGCCGTCGACGACCGACCAAGAGGTGGACAAGGTGGACGTGGTGGTCATCGACCGCAAGCTTGTCGACGACGTCGCGTCGCTGTCGTCGGACGGCATGCACGCGCTGCGGGCCGAAGCGCAGCGAGTGCGGGAAAAGTACCGGCCTGATCGGCGGCCGGCGGTAGGCTCGATGCGTGCCACGGCGCTGTGGTGGATGTTGCTGGCGGCTGCTGCCATTGTGGCGGCGATCTGGATTGTGCTGCCGTTTGACATGCCGCTGGTGGCGACCAAGGACGGGCAGGACGAGACGATGTCGTGGGTGGTCGGCGTAGGCGCGATTGCCGTTGGCCTCGGCATGCTGGTCACCAGCTGCATCCTGCTTTCGGCGACGACAGCGCGCGCCAAGGCGAGCCGTGCCAAGCTTGTGTTCTGGCTCATGGTCGGCCTTACCGTTGCTATCTTTGTGGTCAATGTCGGTGTGTACTACGTGTACTACTCTGACGACTCTGTCTCGCAAGACTCGCTCCGCAACGAGAACGGAATTGTGACGGTCATCAGCATCGCCGTCCTCGCCATCCTGATCATTCCCTGCGTCGTGCTCGTCCGCAACTACTACTCGGACCTGGCCACTTTTGAGCAAGAGTTTACCGGCAGCCGTCGCCGCCGCCGCTCGGTCACCTCAACGTCTTCAGATGACAACTCTTCATACATCCAAGTGTAACAAGGTCAGTGATTAACATGTGGTTGTGCGCGTGCGTTTGTGATGGCGGTGGTGCAGGCGACAGCCTCGGCTCGGACACGGGCATTGGCCGGACCTTGGTTGGGTCTCGGCCGACACTCATCTCCATCCGAGAGGCCAAGTGAAACAACATGTCGGCGAGGCCCGAGCTGGCGTCGTTGGAGAGTCTGGCAGAGTTCAAGGCCAAGCGAGTGCTGGCCAGCTCTGAGAAGAGTAAGTATGTGGCGTTGGAGGGCGAGCTGGCGGGCGAGCGGGCAGTTGTCCGCGTCACCAAGAAGCATCTGCCGTGCTCGGAACTTGCCGAGCTGAGCAAGTGGGCGAGCGGCGAGATGAAGCTTGGGTGCACGCTGCAGAACGATGTGTATGCCAAGTATGATGGTGTGTGTCGTGGCGAGGACGATGCTGGTGCCATCGGCGGAGTCAACGTGGATGTCATCTGCCCAGCGTCTGACAAGCACGTCGCCAAGTACACTGCCGCAGAGATGGTGATGATCAGCGAGACCGGCGAGGCGGCGCGACTGGTGACCGAGGCATATGTGGCTTCGGTTGGCGAAGATGCGCTGGCGTGGGTTTACAACATCCTCGAGGGCAAGGCCGAGGCGGATCGGGTCATCTTTGCCGACGACGACGTCGACACTGGCTTTGTGCTCCTCCCTGACCTCAAGTGGGACGGGGCGAATGCCGAGCAGTTGTATGTGGTAGTCCTCCCGCACCGGCGTGGGATCCGGACGCTGCGATCGCTGCGGGCGGAGCATCTTCCACTGCTGCGCAACATTGCCGGGCCAGGCAAGGCGGCGGTGGCGGCGCACTATGGGGTGCCAGTGAGCGAGCTGCAGGCGTTTGTGCACTACGTGCCGTCCTACTTTCACTTTCACGTCCACATCACGCATGTCAAGTGCGATATTGCCGACGCCTCGCTGGGGCGGGCGCACCTCCTGGACGACGTCATCGGCAACCTTGCGGCGTTTGGCGACGAGTACTACCAGCAGGCAACGCTTGGCTTGCTGCTGCAGCGCGGGTCTGTGCTCGAGGCGGCGCACGCGGCGTACAATGCACGGCCACACGATGTGCCACGGTAAAAGGTCAGTGTATTATTCATTGCCAGAAAACGCCAGGCTGCGAGTACGGCTTGACGCCGCCAAAGCCCTGCTGGCCGATGCCCGGTGCCGGGTTGGTACCGGGCGCGCCAAATGCGCCAAAGCCAGTTGGCGCGGGCGCAGTTGTCTGGGCGCCAAAGGCGCCAAAGCCCGCGGGTGCAGGTGCTTGCTGGGCCGGGCGACCGGCATAGCCTGCGCCGAGGCCGCCGAAGGCCGGGGTGCGGGCGGTGGTCTGCGGGACGTTGACAAAGTAGTTGGGTCCGCCCGAGCCGTCGGCGGTCTTGACCTCGCGAGTGTCAATGGCCTGGATGGAGCCGTCGAGCGACTTGGACGGCTTGGGCGCCTGCTTGGGCGCGGCGTCGTTGACAAAGTCGAGCGAGACGGCAGCCCAGAGGTCGTTCGGGTCAACGTTGGCCTTGGGGACGGCGGCCTGGGCCGGGGCGGCGGGCGCGGCCGTCGAGGTGGGCGCGGCACTTCCGCCAAAGTCGAGCAGGCCTCCGCCCGAGCCCGAGCCCAGCAGCGGGGGGCCGAGGGCGGGCGCAGCCGCCGGGGTAGGCGCGGCTGCCGGAGTGGGCGCGGCCGCCGGCGTCGGAAAGGCGGCGGCAAAGTCACCGAACGGCGCAGCAGCGGCGGGTGCCGGAGCAGGTGCTGTGGCCGGTGTCGGGAAGGCGCCGGCAAAGTCACCGAACGGCGCAGCAGCGGCCGGTGCCGGAGCAGGTGTTGCGGCCGATGTTGGGAAGGCGGCGGCAAAGGTGGCTGGTGCAGGTGCGGGTGGAGCAGCGGCAGGAGTGGGAAAGGCGGCGGCAAAGTCGCCAAAGGCAGCCGGGGCGGCAGCCGGGGCCGGGGCCGGGGCAGGCGCAGGCGCAGGCGCAGGTGCGGCAGAAAAGTCGATGAGGTTGGCGGCGCGGGCCGGCGCGGGCCGGGGCGGCGGCCGGAGCCGGACCACCGAGCGGGGCCGGGGCAGCGACTGGGGCCGGGGCGGCAACCGGCGGCGGAGTCGCCTGACGGGGCACGCGGGCGCGAGCGGGTGCTGTCAGAGTCGTCGTGGCGGGGGCGGGGAGCGGAGCGGTCGTCCGAGTATCGAGAGCTGGTGTAGTGAGCGTCGTCCGAACGGTCGCCGGAGCGGTCGCCGGAGCGGTCACCGGAGGAGCGGCCGTAGCGCGCCGAGCCCTTGCAGACGAGAGGCCGCCCGAGGAGGAGAGGGCGACCGAGTACTTCTTCTTGTTCTCACGGGCCTTCTTGCGCTCGGCACGGAGGCGGGAAGTGTCGTTGAGTAGGTCGACAATGTCCTTTGCGCGATGGCGAACGTTTGCGCCCTGGTCGACGCCCTCGTCGTCGACGTGCTGGAACTTGGCCAGAGTGCGAATGCGGGAGATGGAGTCGTGAGCGTCGTCAATGACCCTCGGCGAGCCGTTGATGATGAGGTACTGCAGCAGCTGGAGGCCCTTGTAGACATGGCGCCAATTCTTGCCATCGGCATCCAGCCGCTTCCACAGCGTCTCCATCAGCTCACGATACTGAGTGTAGTCATGGGTAGCAGCGGCAATGTCCGACATGAGCGATCCTGATGCGCCCCACTTTTCGTTGTTTGTCGCCTCACGAACCTTGACCTGGATCTCTGAGTAGTTCATGACCTTGTTCTGACTGTTGTCGTCACACACGCCACAGGAGTGGGGGGGGGGGGAGGGGGGGGAGGTGAGCCCACAGACCGGAGACGACATAGGCGAGTACAAGGGAGCAGCCGAACCAGTATTGGCAAAGATGGAGGTAGAGACCAAGTGCATGACCATATTGATGATGGGCAGCAAGTCGAGGTCAAGGAGAGGGAGAGAGGGAAGGGCGGAGAGGGATTGGGCGGGGGACCGGGAGGGAAGGACCGGGCAGGTCAGGTCAGCCTGGAGCAGCACCCCCTTGTGGTGGCAAAAAATGCTCTTTCCATCGAATGGGCATGAAAGACCAGCAGCTGTCACTGGTCGTCACCGAGCCGTCACCATTTTAATCAATGGCGAACGTTAAAATAATGCATGGTGGTGGTGGTGGTGGTCATGCCAGGGTTGGGGGGGGGGGGGGGTGGGGGCGGAGCGGGGGAA